ATTTAAAGGGAATATGCCAGATGGCAATAAACAACCAGTGGGGCAGAAGGATCTGAAGGGCTGCAAGAAAAGCTGGTGAATTGAGATTCTGATGGAACACTTCAGCACAGTGCAATGTCAATGATGATGTTTTATTCCACTGCAGAAGTGAATGATCAGTGGAGGATGCCTCACGGTGCTAAAACTAACAGGTAAAGGCCACATTAATCTGATCTTGATTTCCTTAGTCAAGTCAATAAACCTCTTGTGGTAATGTTTAAGCTATCCGGGGTGGGACAGAGTGATGAAAGATACACCAGATCAGGTCCTGGGGATTTAATATAATTACAGTTATTCAGTATCCATTGTTGGATTGTAAGCACAAGTGAATATTGCTCATATTAGAATGTGGTGTGGTTTGGTGCCTTCTGTGCTGAATAACATATCGTCAGTGACTCTGAGCTCACACATTAATACTCACTTAGCAAAATACTGGATGATTTTTGGCAATGATAGAAGGCTATTCTGGTAAGATTCAGTACCCTTAGGTGAGTGTGGGTGAATAAAAATCTCAAAAAGCAAGAAAATTCTTCAGGATGAAAGTTCTGAATGAAAAGTAATGAATGAAAAAAAATGCACAGTGTGTTCTTCCTGATCTGAAGGTGCTGGTTTTTGCTGTTTTGCAGTTTCATAGTCATTACCAAACCTCACAACTCATACCTGTGAGCTTACACAGTACTGGGGATAAATTCATTATTTTCCAAAACTGAGTGTGGCGATTGTGATAGATGATAAAGCTACGCCTGTGAATACAACATAGGCAGCACCTCAACTTCACAGGACAAAAGCAGAAAGCAGGTCTGACAGTTTTTTTCTGGAAAGAGGAACAGAGTTAATAATTAGAGTCCGATGTGACTATTCATCAAGACTAAACATTCCAAAAAAGGCGTATTGGACTTGAAACTTTAATTCTGTTTCTCTCTCCACTGATGCTGCCAGGCCAGCTGAATTTCTTCAGCACTGTAGTGATTGGAACAAAGTGGGGCTTATTGACTATAAGATCCTTGTTAAACTGGGCCAAGCAAGGAGGCCTGGCTGACAAATATATACAGGGGATTAGCATTGCCCTTATCGGACTTTGCTTGTTACTGGCGCACAGGCCGCATTGGTGTTTTTCCTAGTGGTGGAAATATTGAATAAAGTTATTGCACAATGGTGAAAATAAAATAATCAGGGGATTGGGCTTTCTTGTGGCACAGTGGTAATGTTCCTACCCCAGAACTGGCGGGCCTAGGTTCAAGTCCCATCTCCTCCGACGTTTGTAATAACATCTCTGAACAGGTTGATTAGGAAAAATAGGTTATGTTTAAAGAAAAAACATCATAAACAGGGATAACAAGGTGTAGAACTGGATGAACACAGCAGGGCAAGCAGCATCAGAGGAGCAGGAAAGCTGACATTTCAGGCCTAGAACCTTCTTCAGAAAATGTTCATTTGTAATGTAATTCTCAACCTCACCATCTTGCCTTTTCCCCATAATCCTTGATCCACTTACTTTTGAATATTCTGTCAATCTCAGCTTTACATATACTTAATGACTGAACCTTGACAGCTCTCTGCAATAAAGAATTCCAGATTCACGACTCTGAGAGAAGAATTTCCTCCTCATCTCTATGTTTTACACAGGCAACCCTTTACTCTGAGATTATGTCCTTTAGTCCTATATTCTTCCAGAAGGGTAAAATCACCTCTCCACATCTACCCTGCCAAGACCCCTAAGGATCTTGCATGTTTCAATAAGATCACCTCTCATTCTTCTAAACTTCAATGAGCACATACACAACCTATTCAACTTCAACTAAGAATTTCCCTGCATACTCGGGATCAACCTAGTGAATCATCTCTGGATGGCCTCCAAGGCTAGTATATCTTCCCTTTGATAAGGAGCTCAGAAATTCTAGGTGTGGTCTTATGATTGCCTTGTACATTTATAGCAAGACCTCCCTGTTTTTATAATCCATTCTGTCATGATATATGTGTTAGTGCACTGGAAATTAAACATTGTTGTTCCTGGAGTTGACACAAAAGTTAAACGTTATAAAGAATGTATGGAAAGATTCTCCGTTTCTTCTCAATTTTACTTTTTTGAATACTTCCACTGGTTCACAAGAGTTCTTTTGCTTGCCAACAACCATGTGCTTGGTTTTTCGGTAACTGAACAGCTTGGGACTGGGAACATGATCTAGAGAAATGACCAGATCTCCATCGGCTCAAGAGCTCTCACTCTCTCTCTCTCTCTCTGTTCTCTGCAAGAAAACCCATTTTAAACCTGAAGAAACCCAGATTTTGTCCTTCAGCAGTTGCTGTAAACTGGCATTATTAATAGATTTATCAGAGATCTTTCATTAGTGAAGCAGCCACCATATGCCTCTCGCAGACAGCTCCTGAGCTGGTGGAGATCTGAATACTTCTTTCTGGTAGACAAAAGGCCTTTGTCATCAGTAACTGGTCACTAATCTATCGAACAATCAAATTCTTGTTGCCAACAAAAGCTTCATCTGAACATAGAACCCCTTCAGCTACAGTTCGTCTGCAACCTCATCTTGTCCAAGCAGCCATATAAATGATGCTTGCTATGAGTGTCATGTTACTTGCTTATCAAAACAAGCAACAATCCTTTAAAGACAGTTTTAAAACAGTTATTTCTCATTTCAGTCTACAATTTTAAAAAGTACAAAAATAGAATAACACAGTCTTTACAATTTCATTTGAAATAAAGACCAACTTTCTGTTTGCCTTTCATGTTACCAGCTAAAGTTGGATGCTACCTTTTTTGTGAACCATGCATGAAGATCCCTATGTCCCTCTGCATGGCAGCATACTGCAGTCTTTCTCTGTTTAAAGGAGATTCAACTTTGCTGTTCTTCTTGTCAAAAGACATAACCTCACACTTTGCCACACCATATTCTATCTCTCAAGATTTCTTCATACACTTTATCTGTCTATATACCTTTGTAGCCTCCTTTTGTCACCCTCACTAACTTGTCTTCCTACCTATATTTGTGCAATTGGTGAACTTGGTGAGAGTGCATCACTTCCCTCATACAATTCAGTATTGTGCATTTGTTATCACATTTGAGGGAAGTATACGTTTGGGGTTCTGATAGTTCAGTGGGACAACTCCCTTTTTTGATATTTAATATATCTAATATTGTGGGTCTACCTGCATAAAATATGCTGCAATGTTTCAAGAAGGTAGCTCACTACCACCTTCTGAAGGGCAAGTAGACAATAAATACAAGCTCAGCCAACAATGCCCACATCTTATGAATAAATGAAAAAAAGACCCAGACTGGTGTACAAGTCATAATTACAATATAGATGAGGATATGTAACTTAGGCTGGAAGTAAATGTCAAAAGAATTGTAGTAGACTTGAGGAGAACATTGATGGACTTGTGAAGCATGCAGAAAATTGGCAGATTAAATTTAATACAGAGATATTGAAATCATCCAATACAGAAGGAAGGAATGAGATGAGATAATAATCAGAAATTAGAGCATTAGATAGAGCTTACAGAACCAGACAGGCCTGAGTGTTTAAACAAATCTTTGAAGATGATAGACAAGTTGAAAGACATAATCAAAGACCCCTCCCACCCTGATTATACTCTCTTCCACCCTCTTCCATCGAGCAGAAGATACAAAAGTTTGAAAACTTGTACCAACAGATTTAAGAACAGCTTCTTCCCTGCTGTTATCAGATTTATGAACAGACCTCTCGTATTAGAGTTGATCTTTCTCTGCATCTTCTCTGTAGCTGTAACACTATATTTTGCATTTTGTGTGATTATCTTGATGTGCTTATGTAAGGTATGATTTGACTGGTTAGCACACAAAACAATACTTTTCACTGTATCTCAGTACACGTGACAGTAATAAATCAAATCAAGTTGAGAAGGGTTCCTTGGCCTTATAAACATGAATCATAATGTTATTCTAAACCTTTATAAATCACTGATTCGGCCTCAGCTGGAGTGTTGTATCCAATTCTGGGTATCTCACTTGTGGAAGGATGTCAGTACCTTGGGAAGGTACGTTAGAGGGACACTATGAGAAGGATAACAGGCAAGATAGAATTCAGGATCTATGGAGACAATAAAAAAAGCCGGCGTTCTTTTTAACGCGGGGAGCTTAAAAGGAGATTTGAAAGAGATGATGAAAATGATGAATGAATTTGCTGGAATTAATAGGGAAACACCACAAAAGTAACCAAAAGAATAGATTTAAAGCAATTCATAAAAGAGGCAGAGGGGCACGACTGGGTTGACTTGATGGAGAATGGGTTACCTGGAATCAGATTCAATAGCGACTTTCAAAAGGGAACTTCATAAATATTTGGGAAGGATAAAATAAAAACTATGGGATATGAGAAAGAGCAAGGGATTGGAACTAACTCAATAGCCCTCTCAATGAGCCAGTACAGGCAGAATGGGCTGAATGGACTTGGATTGTGTTGCATGATTATATGTTTCCAGTCAATGTGAGCCAGTGAACACACCCATCCCAAGACTAGGGCACATTTTGAAAGCATTTGACTGCAACATTTTTTTTTTTAAAATGTAAAGTATTTATCCTAAAGACTGAACAAAAATTACTGGGAAAAGTTCAGCAGGTCTGGCGGCATCTGTGGAGAGAAATCAGAGTGAACGCTTCGGGTCCGGTGACCCTTCCTCAGAATGGGGTTGACTGCATTGGGTAGAATAAGGGATGGGGCACATCCACACGGGATGCAGAAAGGCCGGTGCAGTGGGGTTGGTTGGTGCATTTTAAGTTCAGTTTTTGCTTTGTCTTGGACGAATATTTCAAAGGAGTCACGATCTCCCTGGCACCTTTTCAAGGAGGAGTTCGTGATTTGAACGGAAAGATTAGTGAGTGGTTTTATTGTCGGCGGACTGGGAGCTGGTGTCTGCGCCTTTAAAGCTGCCGGGGAGGAGGCTGGAGCCGCTGCGGAGTCCGGGCTGTTAGCAGCGGAACAGGAGCAAAAGGAGAGCGGGCTGTGTGCTGAGGCTGTGCCCCCGCCGCCCCCGGGAGGATGGCAGAGAGTGAGGCAGAAACCCCCGGTACCCCGGGAGAGTTCGACAGCAAATACTTCGAGTACAATGGAGTGCGGCTGCCTCCCTTCTGCAGGGGGAAGATGGAGGAGATCGCCAACTTCCCGGTCAGGGAGAGCGACATCTGGATCGTCACCTACCCCAAATCCGGTAGGAGCCCTCTACCAACACCACCACCCACAGCCCGCTCCGGTTCCTGCAAACCCCGGGGAGGTTGGGGGTATGGGGTACCAGCAGCTGAATCCTGCACTAACCCTGAGCCGCATTGAACAAGCTGCAGAGACACAGCTACAAGCTAACAGCAGCAACCTCCACCCCCCC